TTTGAAGTCTTTGGAACGAAGCAAGTTTTTGAAGCTATTCACTGTATTAAAATGCAAGCTCTTATGATTTATACAAGTAAGTGCAATATTACGTTATGATGTTTTATTCATATTACGTTTAATTAATATGTTTTATTTATAACACAGCTGTTAGTTGGACCCCCTGTGCCTGCATCGATGACTAATCAATTTGAATATCTGCCCCGTAACGTTCGTTTTTCCAAATATGGAATGTCTATCCTTATATGGTGTTGTTTACAACTTTCGTGCAAACTAAATTTAGACCATGCAAACTAAATTTAGACCGTACAGTTTATACTGTTTTTCGAAATATAAGATATCGAAGCAAAAGTTTAAATGTTTTAAATACTGTTTTCTCAAAACAGAACATTTCGTGCTTTGAGATAAGATGGCCAAGACCAATTTGATCAGTTATTGTGTTTTTTATGCATAGTGCTTAGCAGTTGACATATATAGAGCTCAGCGGAATAATATAAATTATAGCATCTGACCAATGAGAATTTCGCGTCACGATTTGAGACGCAGATATTCAAATTCATTAGTCATCGATGCAGGCTCTCAATACAGCTTGAGAGCCTGTTCGCAGGCTAAAGATATGGCTGATATATTTCCGGCTGGCGAGCGGGAAGACCCTCCGCCACAGCAGTCGTCCAGTAACGGCTCAACGAGCACAAACGACGATCTTTTGTTTTCTTTTCTTCGCGATATGCAACAAGACATGCAATTTACGCATAAATTGTTGGCACAAATGCTTACGCAAGGCAACGCAAGCTCATCTCAAGGAGATGAAAATTTTGGCGGGAAACGCAAAGCCACGATGCTTGAGGACGACGGTCAGGCTAACACTAAAAAACGTAGTAAGAATACTCACTCAGCTTCAGAGAAAGCACCAAAAGACGCTTCAGAGAAAGCAATAGATAACGCTTCAGAGAAAGCACAAGAAGTCTTTTCAGACGATGAAGTGCATGATCGGACTCAAGATGAGTCGAACATAAATGAGGACGACAGATTAAGCGTCCATGCGGGAGAAGATGATCAAATTGATCAAGCTGAACTAGTTTTCGATGAGCGTGAGGAGGATGAAGATCTTCTAGCGGTTATCAATGAGTCTTTAAACCCTTCCGATGAAACTGGGGCCCCTGTTTCAGAGCGCTTGGCCAAACTGGTGAATGAAAAATTCACACTTGAGTTTGATTT